AAGTGCATCCCCCTTTGGGAGCTGTCCTTATCAAAAGAAAACATCTTGCATGAATAGTTTCTCTGTGGCTGCACCACAGAGATGAACAGAGAAATGGGGCCTCATTTTGGGAAGGCTCAGAACACTTAATTCTGCCTTATTATTAAGCCTCGCCGCTACAACAGCAACATTTTAATCTGCAGGAATTCCTTTTAACACTTCTGATGTTTAGTATTTTACTGTTAATAGATTGGTTCCAGCTGGTGGGTCTCATTCATGACATTGGGAAGATCATGGCTCTCTGGGGTCAGCCTCAGGTGAGTGGACAGCAAAGTGGAATAACATCCACACAAAGTGAAGCTGGAGTGCAAAGTTTATCCAAAATGCAATTTTTCAGCTTTCAGCACCTTCATCGGTTTTGTTTTTATACACGGCTCTTTCTTCAGATTGCCATTTAAAACCTGCTGCTGAAGCCCATTACAACTGGTTCAGCAGTTCATTCAGATTCTAATAATGATGAAAGGAGCCAAGGAGTATGATAGCATACTTAATTAATTGGCTGTGGGAATTACAGCATTATCGTATGAGGAATGAACCAGGAAGGCAGCTGCAAGCTGCAGCTGGCGTGGAGGAGGTGTGCTAGAAAATATGTGAACATAGTTGAGGCAGCCAGCAAATATTAACACATATGAGAGACGCAGTATGAAATTAGAATTTGACTTTTTCATGAACATCTGTTAAATAACACCATTTCAAATTCTAATAATGACAAAATGAGCCAAAGAATGTAAAGGGCTAGTGTACTTAATATTTTGTCTTCAACTCACCTAGCTGAGGGAATGATCGTGCTATCTGAAGAGCAGCACTCCCATAACCCTCTATAAAATCTCCAAAACACAGATAAGTGATGATGAGCATGTCTAATGCAGGGCATGGAACTCAAGTCACCAAACAGATGGCAGTGAGCCACCGAACACTGGACCTCTTTGTTGGGCAGCAGAAGCATTGTGGCAACCTGGAAGAGTAGTCTGATGTCAGCTGTACTGATGTGGAAGCAGGATAGGAATCTGCAAGGAGTTATTACTTGCTGAAGTTTGCTAGAACTGAATGGATGAGGATGGATTATAAGTGGAGCCCCCAAAACAAGTAAAGAAGAAATATCAGCTACCATAACAGTTTTAAGCTTGGGAAGGAGAAGAGAGAGTTGAGTGTCAACACCACACCAACTGGACACCAAACAAGAGGGGTGTGGAGGGAAGCCATCACCATAGCAGCGTGGGTTACAACCAGGGAGTTGGCACCAGGGATGGGAAGAACTGTACAGTAAATGAGGAGGCCCAGACCAATAGCAGACTAATGCTGCATGCTTACAGCCTTGGGGGTAAATTGGCATCAGTGAGTGGGGGATTCACTGTAACAGATACTGAAACAGAGAACATGAAGGTTTGGGGGAAGCGGAGAAATTAAACAAAAAAAGATAGCCTGAGGCTGTAAGTATAATGTGTTGGACACTCAACCAGAAATGGAGAGACAAACATGGGGGAATGTGAGAAGAGAGGGGGGGGGGGGGAATGAAGATGAAAAAAAACCCTACCAAATTGTTAAATAACATAATATGTAGACTTACACTTACTGTAATTAAAACAAGAATATATTTGTTAAAATAAACGTTAAAATAAAATATTGACATACTGTCACTTATAAGATGTACAGTACAACATTAGATCTTTGCCATTTACTTTAAAAAACAGTAAGCCAATTTAAATTTTTAAACTTCCTTTTCAGTGGGCAGTAGTTGGTGACACATTTCCAGTGGGCTGCAAATTCCAGAACTCCATTGTTTTCAGAGACAGCACTTTTGGGGACAATCCTGATGACAAAAACCCAGCCTACAAGTACAGTAATGTTTTCTGCTTTATTGAACACAATGAAGACACAGGGCTAATATTCTTTACATCAAATTTAGAAACGGCAGAACACAGAAATCCTGTGGCATCAATACAAAGATGATAGAACTTGGTTGTTGTCATCTCTCATGAACTTTCATTATAAACTCCATTTATATTAGTAATTGTGTAAATAAATAACACATTCAAAACTTAAGATAAAGCTCTTTAAGATTTTACAGATGGACTAACCTGGGAGATAGGACAATTGAAATATTAATTGATTAAATAAAAAAATAACTTTTTTTTTTAACAATTGTTCATCCTAGTACCGAATATGGGATATACAAACCAAACTGTGGGCTGGACAATGTATATATGTCATGGGGTCATGATGGTGAGTCATTATGTTCTATTTTCTTTCATTTATCTATTCTTACTATTTATATTAGTTAAGTAATTGCAGAATTATATATTATGTATATTAATACAATAAAGCCATCTATTTTATTAGAAGTAGAATCACAATTCCTCAGCTTGGTCTAAATAATCTAAACTGTATGTTAGAGAATTAAGTGCTTCAGAATATAATTTTGTTATTAAATATTCCAAGCATGAAATATCTCCTAAAAATAATTTCAAGTGAATTGAGAATTGCACAAAGTACAAAATACCGTAAGGGAATCGCGTTATTAATATAGTAACAATATCGTTACACTCATATACCACTTTTCTGGAAACGCCATGTAAAGTGCTTTACAGGTAATGGGGACTCTTCTCCTCCTCACCACCATCAATGTGTATCACCCATCTGGAGGATGCAATTGCAGCCAAAGTGCACAAGTACACTCGCCACACACCAGCTATCAGTGAGGAGGAGAAAAGAGTAATCAAGCCAATTTAAAGATGGGCATTATTAAGAGGCCATGACTAGTAAAGGCCTGGGGGAAATTTGGCTAGGACACCAGGATTATTCCCTTAATCTTTTCGAGAAACAACTTTTTTACAGTATAGTGTCCCGTCACTATACTGGGGCATTAGGACCCACATGGACCGCAGGGTGAGCGCCCCCTACTGGCCCCACTAACACCTCTTCCAGCAGCGACCTTAGTTGTTCTCAGGAGATTTCCCATCCATGGACTGACCAGGCTCACACCCGCTGTGGGTTGCCAGTTAGCACTTCCTAGCACTATCCTACAAAAACAGCTTAAGGAATAACTTTCTTTCTTCTTTCAGAGTATTTATACAGAGTGATGAAATTCAACAAATGCCCAATTCCAGAGGAGGTATGTCAGCAAAAACATCCGTTTTGTTGTTCCTAGGAAAGTGATTTTAGTCCAGGTGTCTCTGGTCCTGGTTATGTTGGTCGCCTTCTTTTTATTGTAAAGAAGCTAAAGTGCAACTACAGCTTAATAATTAACATTTGATCAGCATATTTTAAATGAACAAATCAAACAATTAACAAATGCCTTAGGACAGATTTTTTTCCTCTTTCCTTATAGGGTCTATATATGATTCGATTTCATTCATTCTACCCCTGGCACACTCACGGAGACTACACACACCTCTGCAATGAAAAGGATCTGAAAATGCTGCCCTGGGTGAAGGAATTCAAGTATGTATAATGTGTACAACATGGTGAGCTCTATCTGCTGAATATGGCAATTCTAAAGAACACAGGGTTTGTTACATGAGATCAGGACTAGGAGATCAGGCCTTAATGTTCTTACAAGCAGCAAAAAAAAAATGTATTCAGACACAACAAAGACAGTTAGCCTGTAAACATTTCTTGCTCAACACTTATTAAGCTGGAAGAAGAGTCTTATCTGAAATTATATTTTTCATTACTCTTGCTATACAGTAAAAATGGAGGTCTGGGGAAATAAACATTTGAGGCACTGGAGTCACATCAAAATAAGTCTTTAGATTGTAGACCTTTGAGGTCATCACAACCACAGGACATCACATTTTGTAGATATTTTAAATGGTAAACAAGTAGGAAAATAACTGCTTGGGAAAGGGACTGAAAACCCTGTTCTTTCATTTATCCAGTTATATATTGATGACATTGAATTCAGTCCAGAATGTAAAAATGTAGAAAAAAGTATTTTTTTACATTTACATCTTGGGAGTGAGATTATTCTTCAGCACTATGAAGTACATGATCCTTAACTAAGTTCTCATGTTCCTTTTTCAGCAAATTTGACCTCTACACTAAAAGTACAGATCTTCCTGATGTCAAGAACCTTAAGCCATATTATCAGTCTCTGATTGACAAGTACTGTCCAGGGATGTTGTCCTGGTGAAAGGATGCCTGAGGTTCTACAATGGGAATGGAGTGTTCAAATAAGCTGTGTAACATTGTAACATTTGTATGAAAAAGACTTTGACCTTTGTAAAAGGTGAAATGTGAATGGTACAATGTGAGTGAATTATGACAGGATTCCTCAGTTTCATTTAAATGGAGAAGAAAAAAACACAACTCCTTCTTGTCACAGTGACAACACTAGAGTCCTGCTCGTCAACAGTGAGTCAGAAACATCTGCATAGGCCTACATGAACACTACCAAAACCCTACGGGTTGACCCATTTAGAGTATATATAGTATACCCAAGGGTATTGGCTTAGTAAGACTGATGCTTTGGGGTTATTGTAGCACTGGAGGAGTGTGGATAAAAAGAGCAAATGCATTAAAGTTTTAAAACATTGTCCTTCAAATTGGAAACTGTTGCTTTAGACATTTTGCACAGAAGGCCCCTACCTTCAAGAGACAGCCATTATAATTCAGTTAAAGCCTAAATTTGCAAGGCTAGGTCATTTAGACTCAGGGGATAGGAAACTTCTATGTCAATAAAGTTATACCATAAAACAAATAACATCACACCACAAACTAAATATACTGTTTATAATACATAACTCTAAAGATCATATAACTAGGTATTTTCAATAAGTACAGTACATTCACTACTTCACTAGTGAAGACACATATCTCTTGGGGAATATCTTAATTGTAACTATGAATCATGTTGTCTATGGTTAATACTGTTCTTCCATTCTTGTAAAAGCTGATTAAAGTATTAGGAAACACCGCAGACGATATTTTGTTTTGTTCATTCGTATATCCTTTACGCAAATAACTTGTTAATAAACAAACCAAAAAGCTGGATGACTGTTAAATACCAAATCTTGGTATTACGTCTACTCACAAAGTTTTATCAAGAAAGAAAAAAAAACATTTGCAAATGGGACAACAGAATGACCTCTTGCTAAGGTAAAGCGAAAAGGAATTTGTCATATTATGTCAAATATATATATATTAAGTCATATGTTTGGTGATGCTCACAAAAACTTTCTCTTTTTACAATCACATACTGTACATATCATACAAATAGCAGCTTATGATGACAAATATCAAGAGGTTTATTTTTTTAATATTAACAGCTATAAATCCTCCTTAAACAGTATGATATATTCCAACAAAATAATCCTAACAAAACATGTTCTAAAGGCAGTTCTGCAGGGTCTGTTGATTTTTAGAAAGTATAGACATTGATCTTCTTTTGAAGTTCCAGTGAGTTATCCCCAAACAATGCAATCATTGCGCAACTCCTCAACCGCAAAAGAGTGCAGTCTTTCATTTTAAAGTTATGTTTTGGACCTTCAAAACACTCCCCCAAAAGCTTTCCAGGTTCAGTATGTGTACCACCTACGTACAGTATGAGGTGACTGATTCATGGTACACATTTTTGTACACTTGTATTTAAGTAAAAAGGTTGAAGTGCCATCAATACATGGCAAGCATAACCCCACAAAAGGAAACTCGTTAAAAAACTAGAAACTAAAGTCAAAAAACCCCACAAACAAGCAACAAATGAAAGTGTATGCAGGTCAAGCTTGGAAAAGCATCTCAAACGAACATATCAAGAGTCTGATGATGTCGATGGAACGTAGTTGTTACTGGTAAGGAGTATGGAGAACAAATACTAACTTTCTATTAGTTCGATTAGGTTTAAGTTGATTTGGCCCAATACTTATGCTGACCTAAGGTTTGGGGTGACTGAACACAAAACAGTTTTGGTCCAAAATGTATTCATTTAAATATCCTGAAATAAAAGATGACATTATGTACTTTACTCTCTTTCGGATGAGAAGTGAAACAGAGGTCCTGACTCTCAGTGGTCATTAAAGATCCCTGGGCATTTCTCGGTAAGTTATCCCGGTGTCCGGGCCCAATTTCCCCCCTCAGCCTTTACCGTGACCTCCAAACTGTCCCCATGTATGATTGGCTTGCACTTGCCCTGCAATGGACTGCCGCCCCGTCCAGGGTGTACCCTAACTTGCGCTCGCTGCTTGCCGGGTAGGCTCTGGCTTCCCGCGACACCGTATGGTATAAAGCAGTTTGGCAAATGACATGACATTATGTACTTTTCCGTCATATTTATCCTGTGATCTGAAACAAGTTTAAGACGTACACAGCAAAAATGAAACATTTTACATCACTGTCCCATCCCTTTGAGTTTCATTTAGGCTGATAATGTTTACATCATAACTCTGGGGTTCTTGGGCCACAACTTCACTGCAGTGTTCATTCCTGGTGGTCATGACACCTTGAAGGTCATGGGTGATGAGACACTGTTAAGGGTGAATAGCATAATCTCCCAAACAAAAGGGATAGAGTGGATCCTAAAAAGGGGTGTGCAATCAGTTACAGCTGCCAAAATGTACTTATACCTTATACCAAATACCCAAAGAGTTTCTTGACTAACAACCACATCTGTTCTTGATTATGATTAGGAGCTTTCAGACATCACCGTCTTGTTCCCATTTCTATTAGCTAGTCACCAAAGGACTTGTACAATCTGCATGGGATGGAAGGCACATGTGTTGTGACAACCTGCATTGAGGAGAAACCATCACACAACAGCTTTCACACAATGCACTTAGACAAAATATGACCTTAATCCAGTGGGATGGAGGCGAAGATGATTCCCAGTATCTGCTGGAAACTAGCAAGGAAAAATACAGCACAGAAATACTTGTAAGAAAATAATCTACAGAGTACAGTGGGTCTAGACATCTGCGAATATAACACTTGCAAATTTGCTGATTGGAGATTCAATTGTGCCGATTGGGTCCTGCATGTAGGAAGAGCAGAACAGAATGAAACCGAGTCAAAGGTTATAAAGTACAACATTCAGATTAACTCTGCCACTGATTAGGATCATGAGATGAATCTAGCTAGTGCTTGAGTCTCTCCCTGCCCCCTGGCCCTGCCCTAGTATCCAATATGCAGCATCTACATCTCAACTAATGCATTTTTGTGTCAGCTGCATGGGGAGTGAACAATTTTACTGCTCTTTTCATTACAGTGGGTTGTGCCAGTTGCAGAGCATGGAATAGCTGGAAGGCAGAGGGAGAAAGCACAGGCAGCACCAGAGGATGGGTTCATGTTTACTTTAGCAGAATACTTTAGGTTTGTGAGTACTGTTATTTGTTTCAGTCAATCAATGGTGTTTTCAATATCTTAAAGCCAATGCATTATCACTTTGATGATCATATAAGGGAGGGATTCTCATATCTTTTAACCATGCATAGTACAGTGTATACTTTATGCATTATGTGACAGTTATATGAGAATTTGGCTAATCATTATGGTTCTCTGCACTGAACCCTAACGAATGTCGAGATCTTACTGTTCAACAATAGTGCATCATCTACAAAAACAGATTTAACCATCACAAAACAAATGGTTTAATGCATAATTATTTCAAGCATCTGCTCTTGTGCAATCGGATCTGACAAATGAAAAAAAAAGTACTATTAGACTAGTTCTGTATGTTATGGAACTAGCATTTTATTTGAAAAACTGCTTTTGAATTGAAATTAAAAATTGATTTCTTGCCTTTTAATTCTTTTTTGTTTTTAACTTGAATATCTTTAAAATTGTTCTACTAGACGATAACTGCCAAAATGTCAAAGACATACTACTCTTTTTAGAAGACACGTATTTGAATTTGGGTCTCATTCATGTTGGGTTGGGGTTGAGGGTTCAAATATAAGTATATGAAGGATCTTTCAGCTCTAATTTGAGTAATACTTTTAGTACTTTTAATTGGTGCTAAATCTACTTACAGTAAATACTTAAAGTATGTAAATACTATTAGCAACTTTTATCTTAAGCAACTTTTCACTTTTGCCTTAATTCTAAGACAAGAAATATAATTTGCCAACTGCACTCATTGTTAACAAAACGCACTGTTCCAAGACGTTTAGGTAACTGCTTTTTATTTACTGTACATTCAGTATACTGTGCTATATTCTGTATACGTTTTTATGGCTTTCTTTGCATAACTGCGCACCGTTTTTCTTGCCATTTTATTATTTTGTATTCTTGCATGACCAACTTTGTATATATTGTAAACTTCCTCTGCACAAAGACACCTGCCAATGTAGCTGCCACAAAAGACTGACTTACTTGTCTAAGGTTTAGTCCATACTATATTACATATTCATTCATTAATAAAAACTTGCTTATTCCCAGCAAGGGACTGAACCACCCAGAGCCTATCCAGAATACACGCAGGACACAAAACAAGACAACAACCTTGGCAGAACAGCACAAATAAAGTATCTTAGAATGAATAGTCTCCAAGGTTAGGAAGGTAGTTAAGAGCATCAATTGCAATTAATGTGTATCAAAATGAGTAAGCTTTGACCAATCAGCTCTACAGCAAACTGAACAGTGTATAAATACACAACAATCACATCTGTACGTTTTTTGAGTTTTCCAATGTTTAATTTAATTGGCAATCTTTTAGGCCTGTAGACGCTGTTGATGCAGCTTAACAAGAACAATTCTTCATGTCCTATAAACAGAAAACAAATTGATTTCAATAACGATTACTCGAATCACTGAGAACATTACATCATAAAACTGCCAAAGACCTTTGCTAACATTAAGTACTTTGAAGGGATAATCTGTATTATCAACACTTTTTCTCCACACTGAATGAGCCATTCACTGTGTCCACTTTACATCTGAAATGTGCAGGTGATTGCCAAAAATATTTCAGTTTTTCAAAGTAATGGCAATGATCTCAAGATGTGCCAAGTGGATTTGCCCACCCCCTGGTTTAATGCAAGAGTAAGAAATAATCTGCTATTGACACATAAACTCCGAAACAAGAGAAAGGCTTGTATTTTGTAGAGAGTTTTATTATAAATATCATCCACAGCTTTAAAACATTTGTCCACTTTTAATATCCTTGCTTTCATATTTGTGATTTTGAAAACACAGAGAAAAATAAAATCCTTCTGCCGTTTGCTTCAACAAGCGAGCACTGACCGATTTAAAAATCAAGTCACAGACATCCTCTGCAGCTAAGCCTTTGTTCAAACCCACAATTTCTGTTATAACGTGTCATGTCACCTGAATGATTACACCAAACACACACACCAAAAATAAACCTAACACACGGTCTCAAGATTTTGACACAGAATCCCATACATTTTGCAGCTTTGGTAGTGTAAGATAGCCATTTATGTTACACTTACAGTTCAAGTTTGCAATCAAACAGGCCTGCCACCTGAGCTTAATGCACAATCATTCATTAAATAGTTTGATAACAAAAGCAGAATACTTCCTAGTGTACTACGTTTGCCCTAGTCTCTCTGGGAAAAGGCATTAAGGTAGGTAATTTCAGATAATTTATTTTAGTTATATATCAAGAATGCTTTTAACACTTATGATACTCAAAGAAGCCCGTGAAGAGGAGAAAAAGCTAAGAAAATGCATGCAAAACATTTTATGTGTTTCATAGCTAACTGAAATGCACACATTTTAGTTGTTGGCTTGAAACTGCTATACTTTTATTTTACATAACCTTAGTGTATATGCCTTGATCTCAACTAACCTCTTGATGACTTCAATCAGATTTAAGACTACTCTGAAGCACAGCATGCTTCCTACAACACTTCTGACACACATGAGCTGAAGCATATTTCTGTAAACACAATGGATCCCTGGCTTAAAATACACAAAAGCTCTGGGTAGGTCACAAACATTTCTAAAAGCAGGATCCATTCAAAGAAGGTAGTAATGACTATGCCTTCCCAAGATGCTAACAAATAGTGCTTTGTAATGAAGAACTTTACATGCATTACTCCAAAGTCTCTTAGGTTTTTATGGAATGGTTTTCATTCAATCTAACCAACAAAACTAAACATACAAACCAGACCTCATTTAAAGAAAGGCAGTCCAAGGCGAACTTGTATTTTAAGCCTTTGTTTAGTGCAACTCAAAGTGATGACCACTGTTAATAAAGTGACATATTATTTCATTACATTCCCAGGGGTATACACAAGTGTTCTCCAGGTGGCACTATTTCATTCACTGGCACTCAAATTAAAGGTACCGTCATAAGCAAAAAACACTTGAATATTTTGTAGGCATTTATAAGACAAGTTTATACACAGTGTAAAGAGAACTTCAAAAGCAATGCCACAGAGTGTAAGTAGCACTGCCCTAAAGCAAAACCTGGGGATTTTGGGAATACTTTTAATTTACCATTCAATACATTTAATTGCCAACTCAATCCAATATAAAACAAAAAATGGAATGCATACTTTTTTTTGCCACACTCAACCACAATCAGAACACAAAGCAGAACACAAAGCAGGAAAAAATATTTGCTCTCAGTGGGTTAGAAATTAACAGCTACAGCATATGTTTAAGGTTAGGAAAGTGAAGATCATAAAATCCATTACATAATATAGAAAGCACGGTAGTGAAAATGTACTTTTACTGTATTCTTACAACATTTTGTAAAAACCTTCAAAATTCTGGAACTAAATGAAGAAAGCACGGTATGTAGGAGAAAATACAAAAGGGTTTCTTAGTTTAGATTTAAAATGACAATCTAAGAAACAAAATATGGTCCACCATTCAGAATCCTACAGTTCAACAAACGTGACAAAAACTCACCAGGGAAAAACAAAAAAAGTGAAATAATCCTGCAGTTCTAACAATGAAAACAAGTCCCTTTATTGGCAGGATGTGTTAGAAAATTTACCCCTAATTAAATAAAAAGCACTACAGCAGGTTCAGATAGCCATTTTGCCACTTGTTTCTTTACTTTGGTTCTAATAAATTGCAACACCAAGGATGTGGGCTTTAAAAGGCCTAAACGATTTTACCCCTTGAAGATGGAGAGAAATGCCTAGCTGAACATTTCTTCTAGCTACTCGAGGTACTTATTCTGAAAATTACAGCACAACACAGGAAAAATCAACCAAGGTCGTTTAAGTCTAGAAAATGTTCGATGGGGGGAAAAAAGTACATTTGGTACATTTGGGGGGCTTGGAGAAAAGCTTTGGAGTGACCGTTCTAAAAGAATCCTTTAGGGGCACTTTGGAATGACCTCTATGTTTTCCACTGGACATTATCAGGGACGAAGCCAAATACCATCACTTTCTTTTTTTGGTGCTTTTCTCTGAATCTACCATCTGCTCTTCCGAATTCTCTCCATCATTCGCAGTCAAGTCCTCTTTTTTCTTCCCCTGATCCTTCTTCACCGTAGCACCCGCCGTGTCCTTAGTCTTTTTGGGTTTGCTTTCACTAACGGTAGACTTTGGTTTGCTGCCTCTTGGAGTTCTGCCAGAGAGCGTTTTAAGGAGACAGATGGCTATTCCAGTGAGGAAGAGGGCCCACAGGACCTGGGGCCCCGTCAGGGATCGGACATAATCACGAACGTGTCGCAGGACAACCGGAACAAAGGCATCCATGGTGCGTTTCAAAGGTCCCTTGTCCTTAAAACAAAAGGAAACCGCCTTGTTTAAACTGACCCAGGCCTTTCTGAGCTCACTGCAGGCTTATGCAAAAATAATACCAAAACTAACTGTAAATCGAACTAGATCAACAATTGTGTTGAGAGAACAATAAAATTCAGAAAAATGCCATAAAGATATTTTGGGCAAAAACTTCAGAACTACAGAACTATAATAAGCAACATATGTGATTTGCAGCTGTCTTGCTTCAAAATAGCTCATTCAGTTTGGCCTAGACACACAGATGGCACAGTATCCCCTTCAGCAGAATTCGACTATATGTTGTCGAGCTGTAAGAGTCTAAAGACATTACCTTCAGTCCAAACTGACTGAGCATTGCATCTAATGTGGGATCCCCAAGGAACACTGTAGGGTAAAATTCTTCAACAAACTGTCTTCTCCACCAATTCTGTGGATTGGGCCTACAAACAAAGTCAGAAAAATTGTTTTCATGTTTGAATTCAGAGCAGCAGTAGAAATGGCTTTAAATCCATTTCAAAAGTCTTAATGACATTTTGTGCTTGAATCTCTTATTTTACCAGCAGTAAAATAAGAGATGAGTCTGCCATACTCACCCATCACTCATTTCAGTGAACCAGTACTTGTAAAGCTTGGCCCGGATGAATGCTGGAGGCTGTTGGCTGAAAGGGTACTGAGACTCATCCACCTGTATCAAATTGATCACTTTTGGGCAGAAGAAAAGACAACAAATTGTCAGTGGCACAGTGACATAGCTGCCTATGTTAAGACCTCTTCAGTCTCCTTTTTCCCGTCTTTATGGTCGTACTCATTTTTTATATGGGAGCAAACCCAATGTTGTAGTGTCGCTGCGTTATTTACTCGCTGTTCAACCAGCCACAAGAACAGGCAAGCTCTGGACTCCTTACTGGTGCTGGCCACACTCACCATCCTTCTTCCCTTGTAGAAGGCGATGGACCAAAGCTGTGAACCACGGGCTTTGTGTATGAGGGCCGAGAGCTGCAAACCACATCTGCCAATCCAGTCGGGGCTGATGGGGAGTCACCCACGGGAGAGGGGCGCTGATGTTACCAGGCTTATACATGAACTGGATTTCCTGTGGGGAGGGGGGAGAAGAGGAAGCTCAAGATATCGCATAACCAGGATATTACTATGGGTGCCGACTGATGAACACTTAATCGCTATTTTGAAATATGTGTTTAAAAACCACCACACTCATTTAAAAAAAAGTCATCTCATAGCTTATAGCTGCAGTGGTTTTTAGACAGTTTTTGAGGCTATTGTGTACCTGAAAAACCTTCAAAAGCTTACGGTTTCCAGCATGAAGGATGTGACACAAGATGGCAGCTACACATTATAACATAAAAGGCAGACTGCATTTTAAACAACTGAAAACAGAGTCAGGTTGTGAATAAAAAAGCACTGGTACTTTTTGGTACACCTGTTGTACAAACCAGAAAGCTCTCGACTTTGGTCTTGGGCGATCTCTGCTTTTCTGTTATTTTTGAGATTTCTCTTGCATTCAGGTTAAAAAATACAACTAAGGTTACATCATGTTTGTAGACTTTAAGAACACTCTTTAGCTTTCTTTGTAAGTATATGCTCCCATATTTCTGTCTAGAATCTTATTAGTTGAGGAATTTATTAGACAGAGGTGGGAAAGACATGGACTCCAACAAACATTGACTGTTCCACACAAATTAACTTGCTTACATTCCACACACCCAAGTGAGGGAGGGTTGTTGAAAAATTGTTGAATTGTTCTATTTAAAAGCTCCCTTCAACTCAATTTAAGAAATAACAGTTAAATTCATTCATTCAGTATGGTTTCAAATTACAATGTGTTCATGTTTTTTACATATAACAATTGTTCTAAACAACCTGGGATGAGACTGTATTCAGCAAAACAGGGACTGTACTGCAGGTGCAAAACTGATACCACTATGCACTGAAGCACACACCATTAAATGTGTTTAAAAAGGGTGACATCTGAACAGCACTTGAGAAATATTAGTTAAAGGAATTCCTATAACATCTGTACTTGAACGTTATCCATGTTATTTATGTTATGCTTTATCTACATTTTAGTGGCATTTTCCATCTTCTTGACTTTTCAACTAACTGAAGTTTTTTTTAAAAAAAGCACGCATTGCAGATAAGTTTAGGCGTCAATTCTGTATGAAAACACACATCAATCTGTAGATTTAGGGTTAGTGAAAAACACTGCTCTACCACTATGATCATAAAAACTTTTGACAGACAAGCTCCGTGAAAGTATTTGGTTGTTCATAGGATAGACGTAGCCTAATTATATTTCAACGATGTGGAACACGATTTCATGTTCTCAAACAAACATGCACGGCTGTCCTTATCAAACAACTTACTGTCCACGTCTCTTTGTCAATACTGCCCTCTATCACCACTTCCGGACGACCTCCAACCCCAGTCATCCTCCTGAAAAGCCCATAGGAGTTCACTAGCTGGTAGCGATCAACAACATCATACACCTTTCTGATGCCTGGCCACAACCTGCTATTGGCATCATACTCGATGAACGTATAGGGGACCTACAAACAAAGAAAGAAGTTAAATTGTATAAAACAGATTAAGAGTACATCCTATTTGCTATTTAAAACACTAATCATAGTAAATCATTAAACATCACCCTGATTTAAAATGTTAAGATCATCATAGAAGTATTTTATGTTCCTCAAACACAAAAAGACAAATAATGTACATCATGTTAACAGTTAACGCATCTTAGACAGCGTTGGGCTACTGATGTTTCTTTTTTAATGCTGAGAAAATAACGGGTTTAAACAAGAGGGGAGAAGAAAAGGAGACCAAAGAAACAGATAGATGAGTTTTCTTAATGGTGAAGTTCAGAGGCCATTAATCATCAAAGGCTGAAAATGTGAGCAGTGGAACGTGACTATATAAGTAATAGCTTCTCTTACCAGGCTAACTGTGAACATGCCTACAGCAGCAGTGGCAAATATTGCCCACTGAATAGTGGACCACAGCTTCCAGAAAACCCCCCGAACACTGGCACACCTGAAGGCAAAAAAAAAACACAGGGCTTTCCTTACAAAACCACTTGAAAACATCTACATATGTAATTCAAAAAACTATTTTTTATGCCATTAAGTTACTTTGTGTGTTTTTAGTGATATAAAAATATTTAAACTAAAATAGCTCAGGTGGGTAGCTGCATCAGCATGCGTAGGCTGCAAAGGAACACTTGAAGAAGGCTCCACGGCCGAAACGTTGTGTTTTCTTTCTTCTTCTTTTCAGCATAGAATAAACCTATTACTTGTTCCTTTAAACTAATATGGTCAAAAAAGATCATGTTAATTAAAAATCATCAACTGAATATTATACCAACTATTTTCCTTTCCAAATATGATAATCATCCTTTTGATCCGCTCACAGAAACACGAACACTTACTTGAACATGGCTGTGACAAGTTCCCAGGTAAGGGAGAGGACTCCCATCCAAATGGTAGGAATGGTTACCAGCTTTAGCCAGTGGATAAATTCATGATAGTTGAATGCTACAGAAAGAAAGCACAAATACAGGTTTCATCATTCACGCTATCTAAGAAAATCTTCAAACTTATAGATGTCGCCATTTAAAATGTGCAATAAAACCCCATACTGGGTTTAAATGATAAACGATTGCTTCATTTAATCTCTCTACTATGCATGTTTAAATCCGCTTAATATGGAACATTAATATGGAATCACGCAATTAAATAAATTAATAATGATATTAATTGAAGTATTTAAATATAAAATAGTGCAGAGGATTTGGTGGAAAGGTTCCCATTTAGGAGATCTGAGTTCAATTCCTGCTTAGGGTACAGGTTTTTCTTCTAACAAAGACTCCTTTTTAAAAACTAAAAGAGTAAATATTATGCACACCAACAATTATTTATTGTTTTTTTATATATATCACAGCATATTTAAAGTTAAATTATATTAATAATGAAATAAAAATGTGAATGAGCAAATGTGAATACTGTCAACAGTGGGAATCTTTACAGCTTTTATTTAAACAATATCTAGTACCTGGTTGCATTTTTAGAAACCTTAGTTTAAATAAAGCAGATCCCAGTTGTAAGAGTTCATAACACGAGAACACATTATGCTATATTTTTTATGCATCAGTTGAAGCGTTCTGAAGTCTCTCAAAAATGTAAAAAATGTAATAATAATTAATAATTGCTTAGACTTATATAGCGCTTTAAGAGCTTTACAGGTAATGGGGTCTCCCCTCCACCACCACCAATGTGCAACATCCACCGGGATGATGCGACGGCAGCCATAGTGCGCCAGAATGCTCACCACACATCAGCTATCGGTGGGGAGGAGAGCAGAGTAATGAAGCCAATTCATAGATGGGGATTATCAGGGGGCCATGATTGCTAAAGGCCAATGGGAAATTTGGCCAGGACGCCAGGGTTACACCACTACTCTTTAAGATATACGTCCTGGGATTTATAATGACAATAGAGAGTCAGGACCTCGGTTTTACGTCTCATCTGAAGGATGGCACATTTTTACAATTAAGTGTCCCCTTCACTATACTGGGGCATTAGGACCCACATGGACCGCAGGGTGAGCAATCCCTGCCGGCCCCACTAACACCTCTTCCAGCAGCAGTTTTTCCCAGGAGGTCTCGCATCCAGGTACTGACCAGGCTCACACTTGCTTAGCCTCAATGGGCTGCCAATTGTGAGTTGCAGGGTGATATGGCTGCTGGCGTTACTATAATGTTACTTTAAAATAATATTGTATGGCTTGATATGCAACTGATCCTTTTAATTTTTAAAGAAAATCAAAAATAAGAAACAAGAACGAGCCTAAATCAGACATGGCATGACTTAAAATGGGTTTACGTAGTTAAACACTTTTTATGCAAGAGAAACTGGTGATTTTTCTTCCTTGTGATCAGAATCTTTGTGTAAGCTGTAGATTTTTTGTTGACTTTTTAATTAAACATTTAAATTTTTTTGTTAACACAACACTCGTTTTTGCACACAAAAAAATCACATTCTCCCTTCTCCCTGTGGTTTGAAGGAGATCTGGAGGTCTTTCAGTAATAAAATGAATGAATGAACATTAAGACCATCTCCAGAATACTCGGAATCGAGGGATTGTTTCATGCCAGCCAGCGAGCGCATTATCACCTCGCAACAGGGCTATAAGTGGGCTGTAATTTCACTCTCCATCAATACACATTTCCAACAGTCATGCTTTAGCCAAGTAATTCCTGGTTTAAATTCCTGGTTTTAAGAGAAGTGATTTTTTGTGTATACGTTTCGTGCTGCTTCGGAAAAATTATTTAACTTATAACGTTCACAAAGATTCTAAGCTTATCACAAGGAAGAAAAACCACCCGCTTTCCGTGCATAATATGCGTTGCTTAACTGTCTAAAAATTGTTTTAGAACTTTTAAAGTCATGCAACGTCTAAATTAGGCAAGGACTTATCACTGATTTTCTCTAACAAAACTTCAGCTTCACCTTGCCAATAACTACAGTGGGAATGTGGCATATTTGGTGACTTGTGCAGGATCTTTGATTTGTTTTGCAGAGTCGATATTTTTTCCTTGGTTCATGCGTGCGGCATTTGGGGTTGTTTTAGTTTATAGTGGTCCTTTGTATTACAGTTTTCAAGGTACCACAATTTGTATTATGGGTAATCGTAGTGTCCATCGTGGCATTTATCGATATGTTTTATCGATAATGTGTTTTAGTCTCTTGGTTTACTGGGGACATATCACCTGTTAAACTGAGGAAGGGATACAACCTCCATGCCCTAGACAGACAAAGGTGATAAAGGTGATAAAAATCCATTCAAAAGGGTGCAGTGTGTTAACACACAAACTCTAACGTCGCCATTATAAGAGCAAGGTGACCTTCTGCCCCATTACATGAGAGCTACAGTACAGTCAGATAGATTTTAAATTATTGAAGCAACATTAGCTGCTTGTCAAATTTACCTACTTTGCGCAGTACACGACTTCTGAACAGGTACCTTTTTCTCTCATGCAAACTTCTCAAAGATTTATTTTTTTCTGATTCTGAAACTTGGACGATATGCCTCAAGGACTCATTTGTAGTATAATCAACCCCCCCTGGGTGTCACCTCCCGCTCTTTAACACATGAATCCCATGAAGTCAGATTCACAGATATACTGAAACAGTAGCGCACAAGGCAATGAACAGCAGTGAGCTCATATACTGTATAAATATATTCTACATACAGTATGATACCGTATGGTTTCAAAGGCACTGCAGTACAGTATGTGTGAAATATTTTTTCTTAATCAAAAAATGTAAAGTTAAATTACTCGTTGCTGAAATTTCTATTAAGACAAAATACAGTTTCTTAATCTGGATGTAAACCTGAAAGAGGCACATCGCATTCGCAGCATCCTATAATAACCTATTTTTACACATCTGGCTATGTAAAAAATATAACCAAAAGGATAGCTCTAAAGGTTAATTCCAAACTGAAAAGACAAGACTCAACGCGTCTTCTCTATAACTCTTCAGTTTACAGAAAAATTCCCGCAGAGCCACACAATATTGTCACAACATAGTAAACGACAGTGGCTGGGTCACTTAAAGGTGTAACACGTCTGTCTTCACCGTCATGGTATGGTTTCAACATATTGATAAGCTGTTCTCTGGTTACTGGCGATTGCAAAAATAACCCTTCCTTCTTCCCTCCTTTGTTTAACTTACAAGAATTCCATGAAGAAATCCTTAATCACAAAATCATCACTTATAATAATTCATCCAGATACACACACTAACGCCGGAGCCAATTTTGCTAGAAACAACCTCCCAGTAAGTCTTTGGACTGTGCAGTACTGTACAGTACAATATACAGTTTAAAGTTAAATTGTTGGCTGATTACTGGCTGCTGAAATTTGGATGTAAACTTGAAAGAGGCACAACGCGATCAGAACAAGCTATAATAGTGGACTATTTTGATACATTCAGCTACTGTATGTAACAAACAAACCAAAAGTAATGCTCTGATCGGGCTTTGAACCGCGTGGGTGTCCATTACCACTATAAGAACGATAAAAGTTTTTTTTTTAAACTTTTTTTTTCCCCAAAACATCCACTTGCGATCTTTGAGCTGCTCAGTTACATAATTCCATATTAATATTACCATCAAGTGGTATTAAATCAGTACAACTTTTTACAATAACAGCAAGTGGTGCTCTTACTACATATTCTTAGAAAAGGATAAAACATTATAAAGTTTATATACTGTACTTCATAAAAAGGTAAAATGGTAGAACACGCATGTTAAAACCATAACCACAGTAAGACTTTGATGCATGAAATATTTATGAAGAAGGTGGAATACTTTTGTGTACTTTTATATATTTAGCTACCACTACCATGTACTGTGTGTGCATTAGGTATGTATTACGTTATACAGTTTAAAATTAATAAAAGTCTGAACAGTATACAACTTAAATTTTATAATTGGGGAAAAGACTGTTCTTCAGCATTGACCGGAATTCGAAACCAGGCGTTTTCTGGTGAAAGCCTAAATGCTCCACATGCCACGTAAAGCTCTCACTGCTCCACCTAGCAAAGTAGTGCAGTCTGTGTCCCCCACACATTCTGAATGGCTGGATCTGTAATTATTGCCTGGTAAAAAAATATGATGTTTGGATCACAATCTCAAACATTTTTTTTTAAATTGAAGAAAACTTCTGGAGAAACCAACAAAAATTGTATGGCACTACGATTGGAAGCATTTGTTTCATCATGATAAAGCTACTTAAATGGCAGATAACAACCCAGACAATCCTTACCCGTCTTTGATGATACACTTTTCTGCTCCCAGTTGATCTGAATTTCAAAATACACCACAGTCCAGTATATAATCAATATGTAGGCAGCTAATTCAATTAGAAGTGCTCCCCAATAGAACAGTGTTTGCATCCAGGCTGTAAAAAGTAAAAAAAAAACATAAAAGTGTAGTGTTTGGCTTACAAGATACACAGACATCATAACAATTTGAAAACTTCTTTCAGTCAAAATTCATCCTTGTACTATGAACGCATATATACAGTGAAGGGGGAAAACCCGCAAAGCATTTACTGTAGTACTTGTTTAGGAATGGTACTTCATCCAGAAACACAAGGGGGCAGATCGACTGCCTGAGAGGGTGACAGAACCTAATACCGTAGGTTGGTTGTCCCTTCAAACTGTCCACAGATTAACACCTAATTCAATTGCTTCAAGTTTAAGCAAATAATTTGTTCTATTTCAAAATACAATAATTTTACAAATTAAACATAAGGATCAAAGGCAAGTGCTAATGAAACAGTACATCCATCCATCCAGCTTGATCACTTTCAAGCAAGCAACTGGTGCAAAGCAGGACACCAGGCCATCACAGGGCAGACAAAAACACAGACACGCACACTAGGGCCACTTTTCCCAGAGGACAATTAACCTACCAGGTTAGGTCTTTTGAGTATGGGAGGAAACCACAGCACCCAGAGCAAACCCACACAAACACAGGGAGAAGATGAAAACTCCCCGCAGATAGTACCCTTGGGCCCAGAAATGAACCCATGAGTGAACCCAGTATTGTGAGGCAGCAATGCTAACCACTGCGCCATTAGGATGCCCAGAAACAGTAGTTAATGATAAATACCTGAAATCCAAACAAACAAAAAAAAAACCTCTGACTTGGTTAGCACTTTCCTACAGCCCTGAAAATAATGTATGTAGACCAGACTACATTTGAATACTTTTCACTGCTTGTAAAATCTTGACAGGTTATCTAATTCCTTTCTACTTCAACTTTATTTTGCCCTTCACTGCATCATTGAAAAGCTGATAAGATAACACAGATACAGATAAGAATAAAACTGCTCACATTTGTACTTCTTCTTCTTGCCATGTCCACACCATGAGTTTACTTGGTCATCATCCAGCAAGGAAAAACACAGGGCAATGGTGAGGAGGTTGAAAAAGTTGTAGTTTCCAGTTAGTATTATCAACACCTGAAGAAGAACCTACAAAATCGACCAAAAAGCCAAAGTAAGTACAAAAGAGAGGATAAATCTTTTCCTGAAGAACTTGCTTTGTTGGACCCTTTCTTTATCCAGTCTCTACAGTAGAGCTGCACAGTGTTTAGCGAGCAAGCAGTGAGCTATAGTTAAACCCTTTATGCTCAACCTCTTCATTAATTGTGACTCTGAAAAAAGTCTATTTAGCCAGTCTGACTACCACCTCCAACGTCACTCGATCCTTTGTTTGAAAGTTATAATTTTTTATGCTTTTGTGACATAGGTTACATAGTATGACTAGTATGACGATGACATGTGGCTAACTTTAAAATTTGTCACTGTCTTCCATTTTGTTTTGCCATTTTTTTCTTCATAAGACTTATATTTAGATTATTTCACTACCACAGTCAATATATTTCCCACAGACCTCTGCACTGTCGCTGCTGTAAGTACTTTCAATTAAAGTAGTTAAGCAATTTTTAATTACATTTTATATCCACCTTTTTTGTTTCGTGTAATTTTATATACGGTGCCCTCCAAAAGTAGGGACAAGAACCTAAAATTGGCATGTCTTCAATGTATACGCAAGAAATTGAAATTCACATAAAACAAATTATTCCATTCAATGTCAGGGCTCAGAAGGTCGCCTTTTATTTTTAGGACAATTGTGCAAACACAGTTAATCATTTTTCAACCAAAGCACATGTTGTGTTCAGTCCCCCCCAAACATAGGTGACCTTAAGTATTGTGACACAAAAGAAGTGAAAAGGTAATACTGCCTCTGAACGTCCATGAGATTTGCATCCCCATACTCTGGAGATTATTTCCAGTTTCACTATAAATCATAATGGCAATTTTGGGGTTTTCTTTACACTGAAGAAATAAAAGGTTGTTCTTTTGTTTAAACTAACATTTTTGCGAGAGCTTAGTACCGCTGCAGCTAACTTTTACATAGTTGGCTTTGTGCCCAGAACATAAAAACAGAACGTCTTTGTCAATAAGCCAAGAGACATGACTTAAGTTATAAGATGCTTGTTTGGCATATACTGTATACGATAACCTTTCATTCAGAAACTTGTACAGGGAAGTTCTGCTGTCTTATCTGTACATTTGAGCAGCTTTTGACACATATCACTAGGCAGGTTAATTGAGACACAGCTACAGTATATGGGTGTAGTATAAACAGCTTGCTTCACTAAACTTTGCATAAACTTTATGTAATGTATATCCACATATAGCCGTATGGGGAGTGTCACTACAGCTTGTTTTTAAAGGCACTATATAAAACAATGTTTACTGAAATAACCTCACAACATCAAAAATGAATTAAACGAGATTCATAAGAGATCCCGAAGAAAGGTTTTTCCGGAGGGTTTCTGAGGTCCCTCTACAGACGGTACATTTCCAAGCACTGTTACGGAGACAGGGAGGCGTATTACATACCTGAAAGTAAAATGCACCCAGTCTCAGGCTCCTGATGGGTGCGAAGAAGAGTAGCGCGATGGCTATCTCAATGACATACGTGCCGACAACACTCAGCTTCTGAATCCACATTGGGAACTGATGGGCATACCAAGCAAGAGGCGTAGGGATGCACTGGGTTTCATAATGGTATGTTAGAGCTGCAAAACACAAGATTCTTCATTAGCTGTGGAGAGATGCAACTGAAAAAGAAAATCTACCTGAAATCAATTCATGATTTCATGATTTGATGCCATTTGAGCAACTGGGCAGTGGGACCTCATTTCAGCTAACTATAAACCCCGATCTGCACTGACAAAACACATCCAGTCCTCACCTATAGAGCTGGAACCACCAATGTAGAATGTCAAGTTATTTCACCTGCCATCAGGTTTTTATCATGTTCATAAGACCTGACACACTAGTGTTACCTCGGTTCATGTCTGGATGTTGCTGTTCTCCTCCAAGTGAAAACTCTAAACTACTGCTATATAGCCTTAGCTTTTCCATCAATAAAAAATGAAAAAATAAATAAGTATGAAGGCCTGCTCCCTGTTCTCGTCTCATTCTCGAGAGTCATGAACCCAGTATCAGCTTCTCCTTATTTGACATTCACAGGCAGAATTGATTTCATATCTGCTATGTCAGTGTCTTTGTAAGATACAGCCATACATCCAATTCTAGTGACAGAGCAAATACAGTAAGAGAAAAACTGTCATTCAGCTTTTCATTAAAAAGACAGGGATTCTCCGCAGAAAAGGGATGAAACTCATATGCGTTGCATTGTGCTCTGTGCATGAAAAAGAGAAGTGTAACAAGGATTATCGCCTGCGTCTTGGACTTAAGACATTTTAGGAAGCATGAATTCACAAGATGCAGCGCTTAACGGCTAAAGATGTTACAAATGTAAACTATGTCACCTGTGAGGCCCCACCAAGTTGGGCATCGACTTGTCAGTTTGACGACTCCAGAGGCAAACATGAGGCGGAAGAGAAGCCAGCGGGTCAGCCAGAACGTGATGCTGTCATGGTACTTCAAGGTTGCCCTTGATCTGAAGAGATTCAAAGGAGCTATAAGGATAGTAAGGAACCCCGCTTCCAGCAACAAGTTGTCCCTGAAAAAAATGGTAAAAACATGATTAAATACAATTTTCTGAAAACCCAGGAAGACAATGGTTTATTTCAGCTCTTTTCTTTTTATACAGTATATACACATGTAATCCCCTCCTACTGCACTGCGCCACAAACGTCTATGACTAGGTTAATAACCCTAATGAGCCATATTCATGGGTTTACATGATGTTTCCCCCCCTCCATGAGGTTTTACAAACAGATTAAAAGTGCTGGCATTATTTTAATTAAATAACCATTAATGACTGATCATGATGCACTTAAGTTGGCTGCTGCATGAGCATTCAATTATTTGTATAAATCATTCAGGCAATGGCATTCCTTATGAAAATTAAAACAAAAACACAAATGGAAAGAAACCCTTATGCCTTGCTTATCACGTGAACAATGCTTTTGTGTCATCAGTACTTTGGAGCAACACCTCAGGTGGGCTTGCTTGACAGTGGAGCCAAATCCTCTAAAGGTGCGAATCCAGATTTTGTGCAGACGTCAGGGAGTTAGGCATAGATACGCAGAGTAATAGACTAATTGCTGGATTGTTGACAGGAAGGCATGGTAAACATTACAGGAAGCCATCACTGGATTTTAACTTTACTTTAATATTAGGCCTAGTATTTTAAAAATATTCTAATTCATATACCATAATTTATGAAGGGTGGGCTGTATATTTTAAATGTACCGGTGTTAATGGATATATTATCCAGAGACCAGTTAGGAGCTTTCTGCAGTCTGGGAAACCAGCCTGTTAGAAAAGGCTTGACTAGGCTCCAGGATTAGGTGAAGTTTCATTATATGAATTCTGTATTGTTTCTGACTTATTATTAGAAGGTTTTTTGTTTTTTTACTGTGAGATGAAGCAAGGGGGCAGAGCAAGCTCGTTAACAGGTGAAAACCGAAGGGAGTTGCGTATTGTCAGTTAAACTCTTATGCAGGATAACTACTACTTGCAGAATCGACGGGTAGGGTGGCAGGATTTATTATGATACCATAAAGCTGTGCTAAATACCCTAAAGAGAGAAGACTGCTGAATGAACAGAATGGTCCGAACACATAAATGGCGGACAGACTAATATGGTTGCCGAGACAAGGAAGAACAGTCAAGCCACTTTTTAAATGCATGGCAGGCCTGTCATGGTGACGCAGACCTGAAGATGGGGAGGCCCATGTACGATGGCCTGGCCAGGAATGTTTGGTTACTACATAACTCTCCTCGTGGCAACCTGACTGCATGGTGCAACATGGATCCAAGTGCTGGGATCTCAGCTGCTGCTCCTCTTTTGGGTTCCTGCCAATGAGCAACATTCCTCCTGAAAGACCTTTCTCACGAATTGAGAACACAAGCTCACTTAGGCACTGAGTGCCCTATTCACCAGCTCTGAACACCAAGGAACATATGTTGGATGAGCCGGGACAAAGCATGGCAGGCTCCATGAAGTAACAGGACAAAATCCCAAAGAAAAGCAACAGCAAACTGGTGCAAACCAAGTGCCACAGCTGTACAGATTGTGATGTGTCCAATGGTGGCCACCCACGCACATCAGGAGAACCTCACAGCGGACATTTACAACCTAGTTGTGGACAACTGTTAACCAGTATAATGAAACAATGTGATGTCTGTAAAATGTCAGGGTAACTGCTTCTTAATAATTAGCATTATTAACATTTGTTCTTGACTGGGTGCATAGTCACTGGCTTCTTTAAAGAGGGTGTATGAGTAGACTAGATACACGGTCTTAACATGGTTTAAAGTTCACAAATCAAGGAATTTATTAACCTTGGAAAGTAATGAAATCCACCAGGCAGAAAAGAACATCCTGTTGCAGTTGATCTGATGCCATTTTAGAACAGAAGTGACATTTCATTGCCTAGAGCTAGATAAAATCACTTCCAAGTATTGAAAGCGTAGGTTACCAAAACAGAATTCTAAAATCCATCAGGACTCAAGCCACAATTAAGAACTCAATACATTTCAGGAATAATACAACTTCAGTCAAGCTTGACTTGGAAAAAAACATACCACCTTTGAGCTGAATAATGGACATTTAATACCAAAGCAGTATAAAAAGAACACAGGGCCAAAAAGAAGAAAAACTGCTTATTAGTAGTCGCTAGCTGTGACTAGTAAAAGATTACTTTTTTACATTTTCATACCATCTTTTCTTGTTGGTATAAAATAAAGCACCACTGTCTTGTGTTCGACAGGCACTGCACTGGAAAGAGGTGTTTCCATAGCCTTTCTACACCAAACAGGTATGAGAATATAGAGGACAGCACAGACAGATACAGTTTCAAATCTACAGGCACAATCTTCAGGTTTTGAAGGATAGGAGCAGTCAACTGTTGAAAGACATTTGTGGTCCGCAATTGAACTGGCAGCTGAGAGACAGAACAGCTGCCAACTACCAACTTGAAAATACATTCTACGCTAAATTGTACCAGGAAAGTTAAAGTAAAATGAACAATCTTTTCCTGGAGACTTATCTGCAGTGCTTCCAGATAATGTCATAATAAACTTTGACATTTTAGCACTAATTTTAAGTTTTACATTTTGATTTTTTTTCCTTTGAAAAAGCATTGTTGTTAAATTCAGACTGACCTATCTTGAACTAACTGAGACTGTGGGTTATTTTAAAAAATCACTTACCACTGAAAATAGAGAAAGACTTGTCCAACCTAAAAGACAAATAGATGCCAATGAGAAGACAAGAACAATGAAGCAAAGCTACTAAAATGTACGTTATTAGTATTCAAATATAAAGCACAATAATCTTAATTGTAATTTAACATTCAATATAATTAAGGTGAACATTTAATCATGTCATGGTGCAAAATGATCTATTGAAATGCAATCCCAGATTAAACCAATTATGAGTATTTGCATTTGTAAAATACAATCCATTAGCTATTTAAGCATACATATTTCTAAAATCAAAATGAAAATAGGAAATAGATCATTTAATGTTCTCTGTGATAAGGGCTCATCTTATTTTCAAACCCATTTTGGCAATACTTGTTTCATTCTTTGAAGGCAGACTTTCCCCTCTACTCAGTGTTTTAGCTTGTGTTTTACCAGACAAGTCAAGACCAGCTTAGTGCACTTTGTATCCTTATACACAGAAAACAGTTTTCTGGTGTCTTCTTATACGTAATTCATTTGCACAGCTTTCCTCCTTTAAGGGTGATGATGACATTCAGAATAAAATCACTGGGGGGGATCTTGCAGAGAAAATGAAAATAATTTCAATGCAGGGCACTCTGGCTACATATAAAACTAAATTAGAAAATTACCTATGGTACACAGCTTTACAGCATAGTATCAGGAAATATAGACTTTGAAATCTTTCAATTGACATCCTTCTCACACAGTGCTGTTAAACTGTGTCATTTTAAACATAGGCCAGCCACCAAATGGGCACAAAAATAGTGGAAGTCATGGCTTATTTATACCATAATTGTGCATATGCCTGCTTATAAGAAGCTATTTTTTATTAATTGGATCATTAAAGTGAATAATGTGATTTTGCCTTCACGGTTAATGTCAAACGCGTTACTGGTTAGCCTATGAAGATAAGATTTCCTTCCCCCCAACAAGCTTTCTAAATAAATAACTGGAGAATTCTAATGCTTCTGTAAAATCAAGATAATCTGACCAGAAGGTATATCTAAATATTCACCAAAAAACATCACCTGCAAGCTTTCAGTAGCTTACACAAACATGGGGAGAAATCTACAGCACAGGTTTTCAACAGGGCCTTGCTGACATGCCCCTTATCTAATCTCTCTTGAGCTGGACCAGCCCTGTTTTTTTTATTTCTAGCAGCTAGGTGACATGAAACCTTAAAAGGTTATACTAGTTTTGAGTTACGTACCTGGTAGAGAGAGAGGTAAAGGGCCCATAGGCAAAAGAAGATTAGGCTGTCCCTCAGTGGCTCCAACACCATTGCGCCAAAGGCTAGCAGGGTCCCCAACAGGCATATCAACTCCATTCCCTGCTGGGTGTCCAGGCCTAGTCGAGGACCCAGCCACAGCAAGGTGGGCGAGTCTCGGAGCTGCTCCAGTAGAGACTTCCCAGTGTATCGCATCTGCCACCGTGCGGGCAGGATACCATCGTTTCCATAGAGACCTAGCGAGAGGAAGAGAGGGAGTCGAGATTTAGGATTCCAAGTCACTATCTGTTGCAGCCCCAAATTGATGCCGGTGGCTTCCTTTTGCAAAATGCACAAAAGGAATGAGCACGATGCACCGTGGACAGTCCATCACAGGACAGACACACACATTTACACCAGGGTCAATTTTCCCAAAAGCCAATTAAGCTACCAGTATGTTTTTGGACTGCAAAAGAAACATCTATGATGTATCTACACAGTGACTGTTTCAGAATAGCAGAGTTTGAACAGCTTTGAAATCCGGTTTGACTACCGGTGCAGGAATGTTAGGCCGTGCTGCTAAACACTAGATCTGGGCGGTTTTATATTGTGGGTGAGAAGAGGATTGTGTGCAACTGGGCAGAAATGTAACCACTGTTGGAAGCGTAGCATGTACGGTATTTATACATTAGAATACTACATTATCCCTTTCCTGAAGTGAAACAAACAAGAAAACCCCTGTTGTCAGAGATTCAACCAGGGCTACGGCCAGAAAAGGCCATTTCAGAAGAAATCTTGGAAAGTTTCCTAAGGACAAGCATTCATCCAATATTAACTATGCACTCAAATTCAGCCCCCTTTAATTCGCGTTAAGAATTAATTCACGTTAATTCTGGGTGCAGACCAAACACTATATAAAATTCATTATAAAACTATATTAACTATATATAAACACAACTATATTATATTCATTATAAAACTCAACTAAAGCTCTACAACTGAGTGTTACATTAACGTTCTTTGATGCATCAATGTTGTTAAGCTTAATGATGAATCAGCTTCTGCACACCAGTCACCTGAGTTACAGATTTAATTAAGCATTTTTTCCCCCCACAAACAGAAACATACTGTAGCTGTTGTCAGCACTTGCTCTTTAAGCAAGCGATTCCAAGAAACAGCAGCTGCGTTCTCAGTCAGACATGCCTATACTGGACACATGCTGGAAAGCAGCAGACTGTACACTGCAAGACTTGCTCATTTCTATCATAAAACCAATATAGTTCAATGCACTACATGCACTGGAATGTTGTTTCTGTTGGCCATACAAACCAATCTTGTAATATTTAATTCAGATGCATGGTATAAAAATGCAAATCTTAAAAGCACATCACAGTTTGATTAAAAAATCATTATACCCTTAATTCACAGTAGGAGAGAGACAGAAGATAATGTGGGATATAGATTTAAAATAACTGTATTGAGCTGTGATGTTAACATTAAAGCTAGTGTTGCAAAACTCTTTGCAACACAAACTACGACTTGTGGATTCATTTAATATTAAAATTAAAATGAATTATTTATTATGATCTTGTAAACAAGTCCTCCTAATCATCCTTTAATATATATATATGAATCTTTGATACTGGCACAATAATGGTTTTAGGTTTAGAAAAATGACACGGTACAGTTGTAAACTGGCACAAAATGGCACTAGCAACATTCCTTCAGAAAAGGCTGGCAGGGTATTTCAGCACAGCACATTTCATAAACAGCTGATTTGCAGGAGTATAATTTGTGCTTGAAAATGCACTGAAAGAAAACTCGAGACATTCTGGCGTTCGGTTAAGACAGTGTGAGGCAGACATTTTGCATAATAAGTTTCTCAAGTACAGGATCTGATATTTCCCAGACGTGGCTCTCGGCCTAGCCCTGCTGGCTTGGACAGCTGGCAAGAAGATGACAAAGAGCCTCTTTGCCACAGATTAGACCAGCAGCCCTCAGGATTCCTGTTTTAGGTGAAGGGTCAGGAGAAACTCATCCGTTTAATCAATGCAGAAAACAGATGACCAGCATTAGCATTTTAAACAGTGGTGAATCCATAAGTACACAGAACTGTGCTGATGGGCAAGTCGAGATTTGGTGATCAGTCAGAAAGACAGTGTTACACACAGTTAATGCTCCATAATGAAGAGCTCTATGTGCACATCTTCCTGCTACTGGAAGCTGCAATTTGTCTTCCAGTAAATGCAACAGCAACCAAGTCTGATATGTAGTGTGCCATCATACAGTTTTGAGCACAAGACAGGTGAAAGCTACAGCCATCCAAGACAGAAAATACAGGAGACTCTTCGGTGAACACTGTGAGTTTGGAATCAAGATTATTCTACCTGTGTTGATAGCAAAGGTTTATAGGAATCATTGAGAGCAGTCCCTTCAGATGTACAAACATATTGTACAGTTTACTTGTTTCCTGGTTAATGGGTCTACTTGTTTACCACAGTGACATATATACAAAACAAGGAACTGGGAGTAACCCACAGGAAGCAGCAGCCATGAGCACATTTTTATACAGTGTGAAGCCAGAAGAAAACTCAGACCATATGAAGACCTACACAATAATGTACCATCCATCCCGTCATCCATAAGTCATAGAAAACTTTTTATGAGGTCCTGCACACACATTAAAGGTCTGGTACTAGAGGGACTTCCAAAGCACATATACTACTACACTGCAGTCCGGGGGGAAAAAAAAACAGAAGTGGTGGAATTGAGCAGAACTGTGAACAACTGGCAGAGAAGATAAAGTGATTCAATGCAGTGAGGAACCACAGGCAGGCAGCTATTGTGGTGTTACCCAATTGAAAAAGTAATGTGTTACAAATCAGTGCTCGGGACTAAGTGCTGTGTTCCCCAATCCCTGCATAACAGAGAATATTTAGCTCCAAGAGGATGCCACACTCAACACGTTACAGCACTGCTGTCATTTTCCCTTTCTTGTCCAATTGTGCATGAACGTTCAGCAGTCTAAACCAATAATAATAATAAAAAAAAAAATAGTCTATTTTGTAACCACTTCATCTAACTCAAGGTCACAGGGGAACCAGAGCCTATCCTTGCAAGGTGAGATGCTAGTCCATTGCAGAGCACACACACACCCCGACAGTACCAGTCCAGAACTGCACCTAGGGCCCCGGAGCCGTGAAGCAGCAATGCTAATCACTGTGCTACCACTCCTCCCAAAAACTTAACCTTACCATATAACTGCACTAAAAAAGGTGCATTTATATGCTTCTAAATATTTTTAGAATTTCAAGCAGTGGCCCTGTTATGACAGCTTGTAGGCTATAGCACTGCTGTCTCACAGCTCTTGGGTCCTTGGTTTGATTCAGGAATGAGGAGGATTTTGTGTGAAGTATGCATGTTCTGCCCCAGGCCTCTGTATTTTTCTGTATTTCGAGTTCTCCATTTCCTCCATGTTTCTTAGACATGCTGGCTAGATAACCTGGTTTCCCTAAACTGGCCCTGTATGTGTGACCTCCTGTGATGCAGGGTGAAGTCCCAGCCTGCATTTCAAGGTTGGCCTCTGGGTTACTGCAGCTCTTCCCAGGTAAAGACTGACTTTCTGAATGGATAGCACTGGTACAACTTCAGGCATGTACACCGTTTATCATGTTTCCCTTAAGTAATGAAGGGAAATTCAACATGATCAAACCAGATACATGTTCCTTATTATATAACCTCAACCACCATCTTCAGTTTCTTACCACATAGTGCCAGAAAGGTAAACAAAAATACACATTAGAAGGTGCTTTCTCATTATCATGGAATGGGAAAAAAGGGAAGTGAAAACAATTAAAAAGCAGCGAATCCCATGTTGCAAATAAAATCTTAAAAAGTTCATTTCCGTTTTTTAAAGTGATAAGTGCTGGCATAAACGTTCAAAAGAGCAGTTCAACAACGCCATGATGTTTGAGAAGCTTTAAGGCAATTGCATGAACACTGCGAGCCCTAAAAGCGTTGGGCAAGCACGTAAATCTTCCTATCAAGACAAATCGTCATGAAACGTCAGCACTACTTAAACTAACGGCGGTTTGGTGAAGCAGAGTATTTTTCAAATCAAGCACTGGGACTGCAGAAACGGGCAGATAAATGTATGTACGAGCAAGGGAATCATTGAAGGCATCAGCTAGCATCAGTGACGGACAGCTCAGGTGGAAGGAAAACAAGCGGATCCGGTGGGCCACCAGGACCGGTTCTGGAAATACTGGACCAGTAATCATAGGCTCTGAACCCACAGTGTGACCGTGACCGTGACCTAACCCCTGCAGCGCCTCTGGACCACACGCACCGCGTAAGCGTAAGCACTAAGCACCTGAACGAAAGCAATGACATGCAGGTGTAGGTGTATTTTAAGCTGTATCAGTGCTTTACAAACTTGCACCGAAAAACAACGCTAGAAAACTAATACCGAGAATTGAACTCCCATGTTCACACGCTTAACCTTCTCGTTGAATCTCAATGCTAAGAGAGTTATAACCGCCAGGTCTGGAATATTACACACTATATGATCAACATGCAAAAATAGTAACGTTTCAGGCAGATCAGATCTCATTAGACCTCTCAACTGTCCCATATGCTGATGCGCCCCTAAAATGTATTAAATTGAAATAATTTGCGAGCTTTTAAGCGTTGCACATTCACAAACCCAAAATGCAATGATAACCCCAACTTTAAAAACCGCAACAATTCAATCTCAAGTGGCGAAAAATAAGTTCTTTATCCGACGTTTATTTCACGTGATCAAATTTCACGTATGTTTTTTCCAAATTTGCTTATGTAGCCAAGAACTTAAAAAATGGACAGACCAACAAAAATAAGAGCCCTGGACCTCTGACCATAACGTTCCCAGAAGGAACTGGAAAAAAAACCCCGCCACAGTTCATTTCAAAGCACGCCGAGTAATCTGAGTTTTCACTGTATCTGAACCAGGATTTAAGATTTTGCATAGTCTTCGGAAGAAAAAGAAGCATAAAGGTTTTCAAAAGTTTAAAGCTACCGTAAATCATAGCAAGACAGTGGATTTTATTCGAATTTTATATTAAACGTCCTTGGTTTTGTATATAACAGAAGTAGCATGCCGCATCAGTGTTTCTGCATTGCAACTCAAAATGTATACAAACTGTTTACACAAGCTGTATAAATGCTAAGCTAGTGACTTAATCATGCGTGGTATACCCAAATTAAAAATGCCCGAACAAGGAAACACCCAAGCGTGAAGGCGGAAACTTCTGCAGTATTTTGGAACAAATGAACTCGACTCCTTAGAGTAATCACTGTATACTGTAGATTCAAACTGTTCGAAAGGCTACTAAAATGAAGTCCCATTCCATTATCGAATGGAAATGATAGTCCCATGCAATATCCCGGCTACACGTGCATAAACTACATTTCTGTAATGCATCTACCACGAAAGGTCGTTTCGCTGCAAATAAAAAATACTTTTTCATAAAATGCTTACCTGGTATCTGCACATAAAGCGACGCAAACGCAAACATGTAAATAACAGACATGCTCCAAAGAAACATATGTCTTGGAAGTCTAATTTCCCCCATTTTAGCGTATATGCGTTGGTACTGATAGTTTATCGTTGGAAAAACAAGCAAAAGACACGTCGCTCGAGCTGCAAGTTCTCCAGCACAGGGGAAAAAAAAAATCTCTGGCTGTACTGCACATGCGCCTGGTCACCGCTGCGCGATTTTAGCGCGCCTGGATGTTGTGCTTCCAGGACAAACGAAAGGAGCTCAGATCTGCAGAGGAATGAGTCAATAAGATCGGTAGTTGCAGGGGCTGGCTGGCTGGCTGACGTTTGAGGATTGAATAAGTACAAATACAAGGTTCCTATTGCAGAAAACGTGGTTTTGACATTACTGATAGGCTTTATTATGAAATTTGAGTTCTGACCTCTAATGTTTAGGTAATGTGAATGAGGAATGCTGGCAAAAGATAACATCATTAGAAGTGTAAAATTTAAAATGTCATTCAATACATTAGGTAGACTTCATTTGGTGTATTGTGCTTTGTATGAATAAAAAATATAGCTGCAATAGAGCAGTGGTAAATTCTAGAGAGTGCATTAATTCCTGTGTGCTAGCGTTGTTGGAAATAAAAGTTGACTAAACAGACCAGTTAAAGACATCAATTAGTATGCTAATTAAAGGCCCAGTGCTCATTGGTACTAGTAAGTTGTAACAAAAACCAGGGGGACTCAGGGATCTCTG